TAGAGTGTGGGTTTCGTCTGGCATGGGTTAATATATTTTGCAAATTGAGCCGTAAATGCACTTTATCTAATTAAATAGACCAGAACTTCTTTTTACTTACCTTGTTTCCAAAGCACACTGACGTTTGGAAAATATTGATGCCACCGAGAGTTTCTCCTTTTGGCAGAATAGCATAGGCAACAATGAAAAATTCGGGGGACAATTCGGCATCTAGATGAACCTTTATGGGGAAAGATCCATGGAGATCTAGACAGAAAACATACATACTCTGAATTAGAGTGACAATTGTTACAGACAGCTTGCACAGTCTTCTGCACAGAGGACTTCAAACAGTTTGATACACAAAATTAAACTTTCTTACATACTTTATCAACAATGCTTTTAAAAAAAAAAAAAAATTAAAACATTCTACAGAAACAGTTAAACATACACAATGCTCACTTTCCAGTTCAGCTATGTTGTCCTAGATTGTTCACTTCTCCTGCCTTCTCCAAACTCTTCATTCTTTGGTGAATAATCCTGTAAGAGTCTGACTTCTCTCTAACTCAGTAGGCATCAACTTACTTGATATATGGGGCCTTATATGAGACCACTGGACATTACCAAAGGATGCCACATAATATTTAGTGAATGTAATGTAACAGAAAGTGGACACGTTTCATAGGATTGCTATACATCACTGCTATTACAGCCCCTTTACAAATAAACAATTACATATTTGTGTTCTCTACAACCCCCTCAAAATAACTTGTACCACAATTCAGATTTCTCTCAGCAAAAGCATACAAAGTGAAACTGGATGGACAGCCCAGAAAAAAAAAACCAAAAACTGCTGACAGCAGCAGTGGGCGGGTGCAATAGCCGGCCTGCTATTGGCTATTGCAAATTAAAATAGCCAATAGCAGCCTAGCTATTCATTCCCATGCTGTCTGTTGTTTTTTTTTTTTTACTTTACTCCGACGGTGCCGACAGCCCCGCTGTCAAAAACAAACCAAAATAAAAAAAAAAACAGATAGCAGGGGATCCCGGAAACGTTTATTCTGCTAGAGTAAACCTTTCCGGGATAAATGTTTTCTCTCCCGGGCATCAGGGAGCCGATATCTTATAGCAGGAGACTCCCGAAGCCTCTGGGAAAGTTGGGAATGTCTGGCATAGTTATTTAAAACATATTGGGGCCCCATCTGTGTGTCATGGTGTGGACAATACAAAAAAATTAAAATAATTGGATTGCCTTAAAGCAGAACTCTGCCACCACACGCAATTTGCAAGCAGGCAGGCAGGCTTTATATTGCAGAAGATATATACTATGTTCCTGCAGCTCAGTGTATATTCTCAACATGCCTTGGTGCCAGGGTGAATTAAATTCTGTGTGTATGCACTGGAGGTGTATCATCCCAGCCCATCGAGATAGCCAAAAGATGCCAGACCCAGAAGACCAGGTAAAGATACTGGCAATGGCAAGAGAGCTTGCGGATATTGCCTCGCTGGAGAAAAGGTGAGCATGGGTTGCTTTAGTACTACTTTAAACACAATGTACAATAATTCCAGGAATACAGCATGTTAAAGTGCATGCGGTAACACAGTGAGAATCATCAGACTGCATTAGTTATGTTTTTATTTAATTTTGACAGTAGATCCATTTTAATATATAAGAGAGTTAAAAAAGGACACACTCTGTATAAACATACCCAAAACTCACTGCTAGAAAAGCTATTGGTTAGCTGTATTGAGTGATTACAAATCTCCTCATTATAATAATAATTCCGTGTGTGTGTGTGTGTGTGTGTGTGTGTGTGTGTGTGTGTGTGTGTATATGTGTATATATATATAGATATACATATAGATAGATATGTATATCTATATATATATATGTATATATAGATATCTATATATATATATATGTTGCTCTTAAATTACAACAAAGTTGCTCTATCCATTCTATTCCATGGTAGTACTAATATAACAGTGACATTTATAATATGATGCAATACTCACCTGAACCGCTTGATTGCTCCGTGATATCTAGTTTATATTCTTGATGGGAATAAACTTTATCTTCATTGAATGTCTATAAAACATTACATTGATATGATTTGTATTATTAATAGCTCACATTACTGTCCTGTTTTATCCTGCCAAATCTGAAAAAAGTGGAGTTACACTTTATATGCTCAGCCTAATGAAAACACAATTTTTTAGTAAATTTTGGACAAACAACTTCATGGTTTCTCATGTCTCTCAGGGACTTGGACACTAATCTCTTGATGTATATGTTCCACTTCCCAGGTTAGCAATCATCAAGGAGGTCTTACACTTCCTGTTGGACCTCTTCAAAGCTGAACTCCAGGCAAGTAGCTAAGCTGGTTGTTCACTTGTAGAACATTTTAAATTATGGAAATTATGCCAAATTCTGCAGACCAGGATATAAACATAGAAAGCCATCAGAGACCCCTCGATAAATGCATATTGCTTTCTGCCACTGACGGTCTGGAATTGCACGGGGTGGAGGGTTTAGAGATAAACGTATAAAGTAAGATTTGTGATTTTTTTTTTTTATATTTGTCTAGTCTAGTCTTTACTTTAGTGCATTTTAGCACATAAATTGTCACTTATGGCTCTGGGTACTAAAGACATTGCATCAAACGTAGAGTTAATGCCTCTCCTGCTCTTAGTTCTTGTCTGCAATTACAGGACAGATGCATAAAGTCTGATTAGACACAAAGCAATGTTTACACTCGCCTGGGTGTGTGATGAAGGCTCTCCAAGCACAAAAGAAAAACAAAAAACAAAATCAGAAGTAACAGGTTATGTTTCAAAATGCTGAAATATATTATGATTTAAATGTATGGTTATCATGTGAAAACCTTTGATACTTGAAAGACACATTTTTCTATTATGTCTTTAATCTCCAGCCCCTTCTCTACCTTTTCTGTGTTGTAGGATTGTGACAACCTTGTTGATGTCTTAACACAAGTGATATATTAATGGGTGCAGAGGGGGAAGTAGGGTGTGGTTAAAACGGGTTGCTGGGGTCTACCCTAATCTGTTTTAATGATAGACGACTATACAATACAGTTTTTAAAATATATATATATATTACATGTTTTCTATATTTATGAGAAAAATCATCTTGGCCCTATATCATCGTTTCAGTACAGTACTCTTTTGGCTTTTATTTTAAAGTATCCATAAAAAGAAAATATTTTTGAGGGGAACCATGAAATGAGGGCGTGATACAATTTTATATGTATTTGTAAGCAGTGTAGGTACTTTAAATTGACTTGCTATCAGTCTCTTGCAATCAAAAGGAGTATGCCAATAGCAGCAGAGAACAGAATGACAGAGAGATAAGCTCATCAGTCTGCTGCTTGTCTTTCGCTATCCAGCCATGGACATGGGGAGGTATATGATCTGTCGGTGTTACTTAAAGGAGAACTATGGGGTCAGTGTTTTTCCACATAGTTCTCCTTAGGGTAACGGGAGGACACAAACTAGCGTCCTCCCAGTACCCTAAGCTCAGTATACCGCGAGCTACAGCTCGTGGTATACTGAGATGCCGAAGCGGATCCCGACATAGATGCCGGGATCCGCCCAGCTGCGTGAGTGACAGCTGGCTCTGCCTATCTAGAGGCAGAGCCAGCTGTACCCGCCCCCTCCCCCGTCCGTTCCGTCAGTTAGCGAGAATCCAGCCCTCCCCCTGTCACGGCAGAGAGCCGTGACAGGATCGAGAGGTGAGCGAACCTGGTATGTGTTCGCTCACCTCCCGATCTACTGAGCCGACCTGTTACAGTCTCATTGTCACAGGTCGGCTAGAACTATGAGGTGAGTGGAAATCACTCATCTCATAGTTCTCCTTTAAAGGTAGTAGAAAAAAAATGCGGTCTTTTGCCCTGCCAGTCTCTGTCAAGGCTTTGTATATCTTATAACTGAATGGACAGAAACACATATCCTTTGGCAGGTAAAACATCTATCTAATTCATCTGTGTATTTAGTAGTTTGTCTGGAGTTCAGATTTAAGAAAGACAGGTTAAAGGGCATGCCTTCATAATGGGATTATACCTACAGTACATTACAAATATTTCAGTATGTACTGTTGTTTTTAGGTAAATTGACATGCACAGATGGTACTCAAGTCTCTTTACATGTATATATTTCCATTAGTTGGATAACAGAATCTCTTTTCATACCATAGATATAATTTACTTCTAAATAATTTTACATCTGGATTTCTTTTACCTACAAAAAAAAGATAAAACTTACAAAGTAGAAGAATGAGATGTGGTCTGTTTTACTATCCAGCTGATCCTTAGTGATGTGATAATCCACTTTCACTGAAAAATCAGAGTCACATGGCAGGGTGTCTTTTATAGTTTCCACACTGAGCAAGCTTTTGCTTTCAGAGTAGTATGGATGAACAAATAACATATTAGGTGAATCTTCGAAGCGTCCCATGCCCATATCAGGTTCTCCGTCTTCAGATTGCAATCCTGCCTGTGGCATAAAAATAAATGGTTATACACTTTGATGCAGTTACCAGCCTGAAGTGTTTAAAATATTTACCAGACCTGGGAACCTGCTAGCATTTGCTCAGAAACTCAAGACATTCAATGTGATTTACAGATCATGTCCAGCCAGCCACTTTGTCACTTTCTTAACCAAACATGGTTTTACTCAACGTCTGATACGAGGCCAGGGAGGAGAGTGCTATGAGTAAGGCAGGGCTGTGCACTCTCCTTCCCCTTCCCCTTCCCTGGCAATAACAACCATGTAATGTAAATAACCTGCATAGTTGGACATGGGGCAGTCACATGGACTTTTTAATAGGAATGAGCAAATATGTCTGGATTCAGTTTGTGGGGGGTATTTGAATCCTCCTTGAAAATCACAAACCCCCTGAACTTACCTGAGAACCTCTTAGAAGTCTATGGGACTTGAATCTTGATACTAAATGTTGGCCAATTCCCAAGAGGGAAGGGGGGGGGGGGTGCGGGAGCAGATCACACTGGCCCCTTAACCCCCCCGGCGGTCTCTAATGTCGCAGTAACGCACTGGACTCAGGGCTTAATAACGTACTGGACTCTGGACTTACCTGAGACCCCGCAGAGCCCACCTGAGAGTGACCCTACCAAGCACACCATAGATCCTGCACAGCCCATCTGAGACTCTCTATGGTGGGCTCTCCATGGTCTCAGGTGGGCTGGTTGCCAGGGGCCTATTTCCCTGTACCTCCACCCAACTCCTCTTACCTGCCGCTGCTCGGGCCCAGCCTCCTCCACCACCTCCCCTGTCACCTCTGCCATGCCACCCCTGGTACAGCTGATACGCATGTAAGAGGCCCCCCAGGCTGCCCAGACCACTCACATAGGTACCGGCCATACCCCCCTGATGGCGGTGTTCTATCAAAGTTTGTGACTACGTTACAATGTGTGACCGGTGACGTGGTCACACATTTCAATGTAATCCTGCCCAGTTTTTTGGCGGTGGAATGCGTGACCGCCAATAGTTCCTGAAATGTCACTTCTATCTGACTTTGTGAGTGCAATCTCACATTCCACCCCACTCAAAAAGTGTTATAGAAGTGACATTTTAGGATCGATCAGCTGTTCCAGGGCAGATCGGTTCTCCTGCACATACGATTTGCGATGCCGACCTGCCCTGGAACAGCTGACAAACGTTGGAATGCTTGACCTATTGAAATGTGTGACCACATGACCGGTCACACATTCCAACCTGTTGATAGAACAGCGGCCCTGTCTGTAATAATTTAATCAGAGAAATAGATTATAATAGGCAACAGTACAGTGTAAATGTTCCCCATTATAATCCAGTTTTCTAATTAAATGAAAAAGCAGCACACAGTGTACAGTTACACCCATGACGCACTAACAGATTTAGTAGAGTGTGCCTTGATTGAAGATGGTGGAACCTTGTCCTTAAAGGGTATTTCCACTTTCACAGCCAAACTGGGATAACACCTATTTTAAATGAGTTACATGTTCCCATTCACATAGCATAAGCTAAAAATAAAAAAAAATTCTTGCAGTATAAATAGCTTTTGCTTGGATTACAATTTTAAGGGTTAACATTTCTTCTTGCCTCCATCTTTTTTAAATATAAGGAGGGGCTCTGAGTGGTGAGGTGTCTTGTCCTTTTAGAGGTGGCTGGCCCATTGTATGTTAATGAAGCCTATCAGATAAAACACAATTCTTCCATTGGCACAAACCTCTGAGAAAGGGCAAAGAAAATTCTTGATAACACAATCTTGCCAGATTAAACAAAACATCTAAAAGGTGAGAACTTGTTTTTGAAGTTATTTTTCAGTATGCAGTGTGAGGAACACATAACGAACATATGGAGTGGTTTTCCTAAATGTGACTGCAAAAGTGGAAATACACTTTACGTCTATAAGGTTGAATGATAATCTGCCAAAATCAAAGAGATGGTGGGGCGAGAATTCCTTACAGGCATCTTCAGGAATGACAGAGTCAGCCTTCCTAAAGGATGCTGTAACTGAGACGTAAACGCAAACGCAAACAATGGAGGGAAAGCACTTTGAGGATTCCTGCATTGAAGGGCTAGTCAAATTGTTCAGAGCTCCAAATGTTGAGAAAGAGACAAACATTTTCTGGTGATCAAATCTCTTGCGCCATCACTTCTGCCAACACATGTCCCCCCACTTTAGAAAGTGGATTTGTCCCCTTATTGCGAAGAGGATTTGTCCGTAGTCTTGGAGGATTTAGGAGTCTAAAACTAGAGGCCTAGGTAAAACCAAAATAACTCTTCTTGGCATCAGAGTCAGAAGAATTTTTGCTAATTTGTTGTGGCAAAAGATAACTTTTTCTGCCAGTGACATCTTTAATAGAGTTGTCCAGGGAAGCACCAAAATGATGTTTAGCACTGAAGGACATCCGCAGCAAGTGTTTCTTACATTGGTATTCTGCAGACCAACATTTTATCCAAACAGCTCTTTGCATATAAATAGACAGGATATGGACAATATCCACTAACTCATTAACACAATAGTGCAATGCAGCAAGCATAAGCTCTAAACCAAGTAATCAGTAATAGTTTTAGGTTCCTTAGGCATTTTCTTAGTCCATATCCCAAAGTCTGGCAATTTCAAATGACAGCAAAAGCAGGTTGCAAGGCAGGCCCAGCTAGTGGGAACAATGACTTCAAAAAAGTTTTCAGACACTTTTCAACATGATCCTTAAACAGGAGAATATTCTCAACAGGAATGCTTGTTGTTTTAAAACAAAAAAGGCAGGGTCCACAATGGTAACAGCTTGCAGAGCCTCCGAATCCGAAACCGCACACTGAACCTGCATTCTGCGCGCACACCACCATCTTTGAGTGTATCTTGGTATTTGCTTGGTATACTCAAATATGACGGCATGCCTGCACAAAACAAGCCGGCGGCCTATATGGTCACCACTCGTTTAGCGCGTGACGTCACCGTCATGTGACGTCAAGCACTTCACATCCAGGATGGCGGCAGGCATGCGCCAACATGGCCGCCGCGCGTTCTGAAAACGAATTTATGTATGCCTCAATATAGGTTTCATATATCCGGGTATATAATACATTTGTTATTTTGGATTCGGATGAACCGCCAAATCAACTGAATTTTGTTGGTCCGAATCCGAATGCACATGTCTAGTATTTTCTGGTAACTGTGTACGGATACTATTGGTAAGCCCAGACTTTATTTTACCATACCCATTTAAGCCATGCCCAATGTAGCCGCATTTTCCCAGTACTGCTGTGTGCACACTGCTGTGGGGAACTTGTAAATATGTATTTTTCAATGAGAGAACATCCATTATGTATAAAAAACAGGATCAGGAAATGAGCAGAATCTTCCAAATAATATTCCACCTCAGTCCATTAAAATTTTCCCACTTGCAAAGTTGGTTTTCTCAGTGCCACCCAGTGTTTACAACCAGATTGCAAATTATTGTTAATGCACAAATCTCAAAAGAGTGACTTTCAAAAGTATAAATAAAGTCACTCTTTTGCATTTAGAATAAGTTAGCTTGACTGAAGATCTACTTAAATATAAGCCATAAACGTTTGCATTGTTATAGTAGTAACTTACAGTTAATACTATGCTATCAGTCCACGAGTCAGTGTTAAGTGCAAAATGAGCCACTCCATCTTTGTTGGTCTCTTGCGTTGCCAAAGTTACACCCATCTCAAAAAATCCTTTAGTCATTGCTATCACCACAGTCGCATTAGCCATGGGCTGTTTCTCCTCATTAGTTACTTTAATCTGAGGGGGGGAAAAAAAAGACAGCTTTAACATGTTTAGCATAATGGGAGAAGTGCTGTAACATATACATTTGGGTTGGCTTGGTGAATAATTGAAAAAAAAAAAAAGACATTATAGTTTTCTTACTGCATTCAAGTAAGGCTGGCCATATACCTGTCAATTTTTCCTTCAGCCAGCGGGTTGAATGCGGGGACGTGATTCCTCCATCAACACAAACAGCGTGTCGATTGAGGAATCGCCGCCCTTTGCATTGGCACCTGTCAGAATACCCGATCAGAGCAGGCAGCTCATTGTATGTGTATGTTAAACTAAAACTGTCTTAGTTTTGGATAGAGTGGGAAAGGAATAAAACCCCTGTAAGTTTTACTGATATCTGGGGGCACTGTTAGAAAGATTAATCCTCACTTCCTGTCCTGCTGACAATGTTTTACCAGACAGGAAGTGAGGGAAACTCTCTAACAGTAACACAGACACAAATAAAAATGTTTTATAGTAGTGTGGGGGAAGGCTAGAACCCCTGGTACATTGTTATTTCAGTATATTTCCCTTTTGCAGATTTTCCCCCAGTTCCTGTCTGGTAAAATCATTGTCATAGGGAGGGAAAAAGAGGAAAGATCTCTCGAACTGGGGTCCAGATGCAGTAAAAACAAGACATGGGTTCTAACTCCTTCTCTTCTCCCAAGAAACTGTTTTTAGCCTGACAAACACTTTAATAGACTACATCCAAACATTTGTCCAGGATGCTTAAATGGAGATACTGTTAAGCAGGAACATCTGAGGAGGCCATCGGGTATGTCAGCAGTGAAATGGTTAGTCTGACCATGTGGCACAGACAGTTAGCGCTCCTACAAAATTAATGTCAATGGAGACAAACACAGTTATCTGTACTCTTTATAAATTATAATACCTATGTCAAAGAGGTACCAAACCTGATAGTAGAACCTCTGGTTCTCTAAGACTATACGCCGGCAACATAGTACTGATACTCACCAGCGCAAGGATTGTGTAAACAGCAAACCCAAATTTCTGATTGTAACAAAATCGGCGGCTGAGTTATTTACAGGGAGATAGCTTCTATCTCAGGCTGGTTTAGGCTTTGAAAAAGTTGCACCAGCCGTTAAAGCAATAACCACCCCTCGTTCAGGGGGACAAAAAGGGGAAGTCCAGGAACTTTGACTCAAAGCTGGAAGGGTCACCCATTAAGAGAATCTTGGCTTAACCTGCAGTTTACCTGTACATTCATCAGCCAAGTTCTAAGTTCGCATTTTAGGCAACTCAGTTGACACATATGGAATCGAGTTGGCAGTAAGCTGCCTACAGAACACATTAGGATTTGCCTCCTCGTTTGTCATTCAGGAACGTTCTTTTCTCTCTTATCTGAAAGTAAAGCTTCTCAAGATGGAATCACCATGATGTTCCTCCAGCATATGAAAGAGACCCACTTCTATTTTCGAGAGACTGCCTCAGCTATCCTATAGATGAAGAGATGAATTGACTGTGTCAACTCTCTCAAGCCTTGTATGTAAAGTTCATTATTGACATTACCTCATTTCTGGGAATTCATGTTTCTTTTAGGTCCTGGGGAATATAGTTTTGAGGCTAGGTTCAGGCCTGAGCGATACCCGGGATGCGTGTCCTGGGACCGCAAGAATGTGTGCTAGTGCACACAGCGGTTGCTGCGTGGCTTAATTGATTTCAATGGGGTTACATCCGTGTGGCAATCGCTAAAAAAAGGTACAAGTACCTTTTTTTGCAACGCGTGTTTTTTTTTTGCATTAATCGTGTTCAATTGCATGGGTGGAATCGCGATCCGCCTGGTGCGACCGGGGTGCCATTAGAAAACAATGGCACTGCCAGCGCGATTGGCTGTGGTGGGCGACTCCGTGACCGCCCAGCAATCCGCACGGTTTTGTGCACAATTGGCGTGCCGTCACAGATCACCTAGGTGTGAACCTAGCCTCACACTCCCTGCTATGAAAGTTGTTGGGCAGTCCTTTGCTAGGCCAACCATGCAGTCAGAATGTACTAGAGGCAAGTGGTCTTTTTACTTGCAAGAACAGCAGAAAAGAAAAACATCCTCTGTATTTCTCAAAGCTATACTATTCTGCAATGGATTCTAATTCTGTATCTTCGTGAAAAGTTCTTCCTCTGGGGAGGCTTCTTGGCACACAATCCATTAAATATATAGCCCAAATATTTATTACTTTCCAAGTACAACCCACTGGACATTTCCTCTCAGGAACTGCTCCGGCTAAAAAATATTTATAACTCTGAAAAAGCTTGCAAAGAAATTGCCACCATAGGCTTAGGAACACTTACATATCTGTAAAAAAAAGAACTTACGTTAGTTACAACTCCCGTTTTACATAAAAAGGAATGTATGAAGGGTATTTTGGAAAAATAAAAGATGTGTGGAGAGGAGGGAGGGGGTGAAGGGGGGGGGGAGCTTAAAAAAAACTGGAGATTTGTTTTAAGTAGACCATGTCAGCACAGAAGTAAAACCAGTACATTAAATCTATATGCATGGTAAATAGATTTGAATAAAATGACACCTCTTTTTCTCTTCCCTGATTTTCATTGTCTCTATACCTTGCCAGTGAATGGAACTCCGATTTGGTATAACATTCCAGTATTCACAAATTCAACTTTGTGACGGTTACTAAGGTAAAGGTCAGCTGATGCTTTCTCCATGTGGCCTGGAAGACACAGATTTACTTTCACATTCTGTACTTGCAGATCTTCAAACTGATAGTTACTTTCTATATTCTCACCTGTACCATCTTCTGTCAGTGAAGATGCAATGTATAAATGCTGGTTTTTATCTTTATCTGTGAAGTTGAAAGCATGTAGGTCGATCTCCTTGGACACACACCCATCACTGTCAGTCTAAAGAAAGGAAATGTGGATAAAGAGCGTGAGAGAGAGGAAGGGGACAGAAAGGAAGAGGACATTTGCTTACAGATTTTATCACGCAGATGTAAACTTGATACTGTGTCCATACTGCTAAATTGTAGAATGGATTATCTCACTATCACATATTTAAAAAAGTGTGGATAAATTATTTTACATATGGTAGGCCAAGTTTAACAATAAACAAGTCAGGCTGCTATTGTCACCTACCTAAGTTCTCCTTATATACAAATTAGGAACCTATGCATTCAGGTATAGTGCAGGTGATGCAGCATGCTTTTTTTGTGCACTCCCAAGGAAATATCCCAAAGCAATATATTATTACTTAAGGCTGGTAACGATGGTAGTCTGGCTGGAAAGCCAACCTTGGACTTTTTATAGTTATGCCAAGAGTTGAGGGAGATATGCCAGCTGTGTTTTACGAATATCCCCTATGCGCAACATACCGTTATACCCCAGAATCCAACGGGTGCTGGAACAACTAGTGGGTGGCGCCACAGTATATAATTTAGAAGAGATGTTGTCCTCACATCATTCTGCTTCAGAATATCATCTTTACTCGGATTCCTTTAGCATGACATATCATGCTAAAGGAATCCGAATAAAGATGATATTCCGAAGCAGAATGGTGTGCGGACATCATATCTTCTAGATATGCCAGCTGGGATCACATGAAGACGTAAAGACCCGGAGGGACAACAACATCATGCTTCACTGCCCCTAAATCACAGAGATCAGAGGGTATTTCTATTTAATTGTGGAAAAAAACCTTCACGAAAAATGTACCTTAGCGTGTGTTATTTTGATGCATTTTCCTGATTCGTGTTCATCGTCATCATCATCATCGCTGCTTTGACGATATGAAGAATACAAAGCATGACGTGAATTGCAGATTTGAATGTCTAGGTTACCTTGTACCGGCTTTCCGTAGGTGTAACTAGATTGAAGATGAGAAATAGGCTATATTTATGTACTTTCTTACATTCATTAATAATACTGCTCTATCTCACATTATATATTAGACTATGGAGACACTTAAGGTATACTTGTCATGAGAGAAGAAAAGGGGCTGCTATTGATGGCTTTCTTCTAAAATTCTACTTGCCTTGCTCTGTCTGGTTTTAATAGTGAGGATTAGAAAAGTGTCAGAATTCCCTGTCTCTACATGTTCCAGGACAGTAACAAAAAATCAATTGAAGCCAAAGCATCAGCATGATAGCCAGAGTAGAAAGGGCAGTCTCCAGAAATTTTAATGAAAAATCATCCACAGCCTGGGAGATTGAGAGATGGACCTTCAATTAATGCAAATAGAGATTGTGATGCAGATACAGCAGTAGGGCATGAAGGCTTTTTGAAGGTTTTCAACCAGAGGCTGAAAAAATATGTTCTATGTTATTTTACCTATTGTTAGTGTTCTGGGGAGGGAGAATTAAGGAAGAAAATGCAAAGTGCGTGAAAAGTGCAATAGAAACCCAGTTAGTCAGGACTGATTTGTCAGGCCTGTCATCCTTTAGCTTTTATGATGGATCATTTTAATGTTAATTTCTTTATATTTCTGGCATTTCTGCTTGGTTTTAGATCTGCAAAGAAGGCAGAACAGAAATCTCACTTCAGGAAATATTTCTGCAATAACAGGTTCCCATCACCATTTCATGAGTGCCTGCAACCTGGTTTACTGGAGGCAGCTTTAAATAACATACTGCCCTTACAGTTATTGCCAGGTGGGATAGGATTGTAAGTAAGACATGTTCTGACACCTGTTGACTAAGTATGACATGGTCCTTAGGCAATAGGTGTCAGAACTGGTACTGCCATTAATCTCACCTGCCACAAACTCCCAGATGAAAGGATTTAGCTTCAGAAGCCACAATGGGTGGCAAATTGATGTGTACCTCAAACCTCTTCAAAACTGAAAAAAATAAACAGAATAAATAGAAAAACACATATTAAAAAAGAAAACATTTTATTTAAAAACACAGAGAGGAACTATGTTGTTATAGATAGTAGTCACATTCAAGCATTCAAAGTTGTGGGAAAGCCACTTGGATGATAGGTGAAATATCTTCAGTAATATAGAACACGTCTATTTGAATGTAACTAACTACTAAAATCAGCTTAGTGTTGGAAAGAACTGACACCAGACAGGAACCAGAGTGATACGCATTGTAACTGTAATGAGTGGGCAATCTTACCATTGAAGAAATAAAAGCAAATGCAAGATGCCTAACCCTTTCGCTGCCAAGCCCCCTGCTTTTCAGCTGGCCACACCAATTTTGCAATTTTTCACCTTTTAAAAAAAAATTTCAATGGCAGCTTTTAGCATTTGTAAATGACCCCCCAAACCATATATTTTCTGAAATCACAGGCCCGGTAAAGTAAGAAGATGGTGCTGCTTTTTTGTAGGTCCTGTGATAATTGCAGAAATGTCAATCAATAATAAACCAATAAAAATACAGAATTAAATTGATAAAATCACACTGAACTTCAGACTAAATGTAAAAGATAAAACTGTATTGAGGTAATCAATAACAAATATTTGTAAAATTTAAATTGCGCCTTTTTGCGAAACTGTAAAAAAAATAAAGTAACGCACAACTGTAAAAAAGGCAACTAATGTTAAAATCATTTGTGGACTGTGTTGGTGTTTGTGTTGGGATATAATTATGCAGGCATAAATTTTATCACAACACACGGCAATGGGTCACAACGCTTTGCCAGGCGCTGCAACACTTTTTAACAACGCACCACAGCACTTGTGCATGGCGTACACCACAATATGGTACACACTGTTGCACATGTATAATATGTGTGTGTGTGGGGGGGGGGGTCTTTTTTATTATTATTGTTTTGTTTACTGTTGGGGGGGGCGGCTTTCCTTTTGAAATAGAAAAAGAAGTTGAGGACGCAGAGTCCTCAATCTCTTTTTCTGCAGCCTCTGTTCTAAATGAATGGAAAGCACTCAGTACAGAGGTTTCCCATTCATTCAAAAACTGGTAATAGTAAAATATTTACTATCATCCAACTATGAATGGGTAGAAGCCTCTGTAGTGAGTACTTCTCCCCATTCAGAAACTCATGAATTAACAGGAAGTGATTTAAAGCACTTCATATTCATTCATAACTGGGGACACTTAGTACTATGGGGGTACTCAGAAGCAGATGAGCTTACCAGACCGAAAGGGTCTGGTATGAATTGCCTGAATTGCCGGGGAACCACATGCTGTTTTTATGTTATTATTATTATTATTATTATTATTATTACATGGGGTTCCTCCTAACGTTCCTACCAGACCTAAAATGTTTTTTTTTGTAATTAATATTAAACACCTTTGTGTATTCTGTGACAGCTGTCAGATTCTTTACATTCTGTCCTCAAAGAAGCAGAAGCGGGTTACAGAATAACACAGATCTCTCAGCTTCTTTCTTTCTTTACATTTTGTAACAATATTTGTTACATTGTTTTCATTTCAGATACAAGTGCAGAGAAGCCAGAGAGTGGTAAATGACAGCTCTCCAGCTTGTTGTGTTTCGTTCCGAATGAAATTATGATGAATCCAAATTTCGCTATCAAACATTCGGATTCATTCAGATTTGTTATTTCTGTGATTGAGAAATTCGGATGCATCCAAATGTACGAATATAGATACATTTGTTCGAATTTCAAATTACTGCAACTCACCATATTCAGCCACAGTAAAGATTTCAGAGCATTTACTAGGTACACTCAGTTTGTACTCTCCAAGTTTTAGTTCTTTTGCCAAATGATATTTCAAATCCACAATCCCATGATCAGGAGTCACATCCAACCACTGTCCAATGAAGTTTCCTTCTGTATCCTGTGAAACAGAAAAGGCTTTACACTGTCAAAATGGCTGCAAGAGAATGTGCAGTCTCTTCGGTGTTTTTAGATAATCACATAAAAAGAAAATCAACTTTATATTATTAATTGTATTAATATAGGTTAAAGTTTTAAAACTTTTGTTGCTATTTACAATTTGCCAGCACATGTATACATCATGGGTGAAGCCGTATTTAATAAATATACATGCAGGCTCTAGCTGCTATCTGCTTTTCTCGGCTGCACAATGATTGTGCTTTTAGGCACTGTTCACACCTGAGCATCAGCATTTCAAGGCTTTTTTCAGATTTAAAAAAAAAAACATTTTTGAGCATTTCCCGCACTTTGACATATATTTGTCAAGCTTTTTTAAATGCAATAATTGTGTATCCAGGGATAGTGATTGAATCCTAACCGCGTATAATTGTATCATATATGATTACATGCGGTGTGCCAGCGTTTAAATGCAGCAGCTGTCACCCGATCATTAACTTGAATGGGTGACAGCTGCATTTTGTAAAAGGCAGGTAAAGAATACCCTGCTGCAGTAAAATGCAAGTTCCCTCGATTGCATATATAGATATACAGTAGGTCTGAATGAGGCCTTAGACAGGAGTTAGCATTATTGCAAGTTTGCACTAGACTCAATGGTTGAATATCAGAAAAAAATAGAGAGTGAGTCTAAGACAACTCCGGTACACAAAATGGCTGATATCTCAACACACAGTATGTTAAGGGAGTACATACAGAGTATTGTACTATGCTACTGAGAGCTCCCTTTAGTGGTTAAGTTATACATCTTAAAAAGTGCTTACTGGCAATAGTTTTCCTTTAAAACATGAACAAATGAACAAAAATTTAGTGCAATAGTGCATCATGACAGTGTTTTGATTGATAGCAAAACAATGGGATGAAGTGGACAAGAATAATTTACGTGTTACCACGTGTTGCATAAACTCATTTGTAATAGGTTCTTTCTAGCACATTGGATAGCATCTTTCTAAGCCTATCATGCTGAGCAGTGCCCCCTGCTCAGCATGACTGGCTTAATTATTATTATTATACAGGATTTATATAGCGCCACAGTTTGCACATCGCTTTACATTATAAGGAAGACATGACATGAAGACATGACAATTACAATTCAAGACAAGATGGTAAGGAGGGCCCTGCCCGTGAGGGCTTACAATCTCAAAGGGAGGGGCAAGTGATACATGAGGAGGTAGCGGTGTGGGGATGAATTGTTTGAGAACGTGATGGTTGAGTGGTCAGTTTGAGGTGGGATAGGCTTCTCTGAAGAGATGAGTCCTAAGGGATCGCCTAAAGCAGTGGTCCCAAAGTACCGGTCCACGGGCCAATTGCGGACCGCGAGCCGGTACAATGTGGCCTGCAGCCAGCTCAGAAGTCAGGTACACGGTCACAGGCCGCGTACCTGACTTGTGGGATCTCTGTCGGATGCAGCAGACCTTACCAATCAACCACTGGATCACCAGGGATCGATGTGCTTCCTCACAGCCTCCTGCATGCAAAAAGGTAAGCAGGAGAGGGGGCTCTGTAGTTTATTTTACGTGCGGGGGAACGACTGGGAATTATTTTTAATGTGTGTGTGTGTGTGTGTGTGTGTGTGGGGGGGG